AAAAAAAAAAAAAAAAAAAAAAAAAAAAAAGAACAGATAGGAAATCTGAGCTGAGGAGGGTAGATGGGAGAAAACAATATTTGTGTGGCTTGAGAGCGCTCTGGGTATGGGAAAAATCAGACATCGGGATAAAAGACTGCAGATGGTGGTGGCGTGAGTCAGTGACAGAGCAGGGCTATCGTGGACAGGAAAGGGTGGCTCGAGTAGCTACAAAAGATTTGGTCTGAACTAAGCTTTAGGACACAGGCTGTTGGGGTGGGGTAGGAGGAAGTGGCATAGAGAGAAGGAAAAATGCTATAACCTAATTGTAAAGAAAGGAATTTTGATTCAATTCAACAAGCATTTATGGGGGCCGGCCCCATGGCTTAGTGGTTAAGTGCATGCGCTCCACTACTGGGGGCCCGGGTTCAGATCCCGGGTGCGCACTGACGCACCGCTTCTCCGGCCATGCTGAGGCGGCGTCCCACATACAGCAACTAGAAGGATGTGCAACTATGACATACAACTATCTACTGGGGCTTTGGGGAGAAAAAGGGAAAAAAAAAAAGGAGGAGGATTGGCAATGGATGTTAGCTCAGAGACGGTCTTCCTCAGCCAAAAAAAAAAAAAAGAGGAGGATTGGCATGGATGTTAGCTCAGGGCTGATCTTCCTCATAAAAAAAAAACAAGCATTTATGGAAAGAGATGGCAGATACAAGAAATTGTATCATGTATGGAAGATACAAGAAATTGACAATTTTTGTTTGTTTTGTATGTTACACACACGGAAGCACACTTCCGCCCTCTGTATTACTTTCTTTAACTCACCTCACTTTCCTCCCTAGAGTCTTGAAAGAGAAGAGTACATTTTACTCAGGACTGAAACAATGAAATGATGTCATAATACTTTTTAGATTTTGGTATAAAGTACAGCAATCATTAGACTGAAAGATTCATTTAAATATTTTACTTTGGTTGTGAGGACAAACAGCCAAAGAAACATCTCTCTTAAACTAACCTTCCAAACAGTTTGCACAATACACATTAGTTTTACTATAGATACGCAGTAAATGGGCAATTGTAGGTATTTTGTGAGCAGGAAGAGAGGGTCCTGGTGATGTGGGCAAAGGGATTTTATCTTGATTATTTTTCCTTTAAAAGGACTTAAAGCAAATGTGACAAGATGTTAACAACTGTTTGGTGCATAGACAAGATTTATTGTACTATTTTTTCTATTTTTCTTAGAATTTTCAAAAGAAAAAAAGAAGTTATTTAAAAAAACTGATCACTGGGTAACTGTGTATCTCTGGGCTTTACACTATACACATAGATTTTCAGATATCTTTATATGCACAAATAAAGGTGAAAACAGATGTTAAAGGCTAGTCTGTAAATGAAGTTCGGACATGGATATCATATGAGATTCAATATCTTTTACAATTCTAATTCCTTAGAGGATCACCAAAACTTTAATTCTCTCCAAGTTCAAGGCCATAACCGAATGAATATCAACTGAAGAAGATGATTAAAAGATCTTTCTTAAAGAGAATCTGGAAGCTCTGAAGCCAGGGTTGGGTTTATATAATGGAAGAGCAGCCATTGGCAGAAATCCTGAGTATACTCTTTCTGTTTCAAATATATTCCTCAGCAAATTACCCCTGACTCCCAAATATCATCATCCAGTGTCCTTTCTTTGAATTAAGCATTTATCTCTCTGTATGCTTTTAACCATTAAAATATCCCAGGAGAATCTTTCTTTGGGACAGGAGAATCCAGGCCTTGTGATTAAACACTGTGAACCATTGAAAAGAAAGAAAATTTGGGGTAGGGCTAAGGGGACACAAAAAATATTTTGAACTGGGAGACACTGAAAATAAAAGCAAAGGATTCTAAAAACTTAAAAATACTGTTTGCATCTGGCCCTCCCTGAAAGGAATACGGAGCAATTAAAAATATGCTTCAATGTGAAAAACTAATGTACAAGAAGACTACTTATTAATATCATTATGGAGCTTTATATACATACAAAAGTCAATAAACTCTGTGTCCTACAACTAGAGCCTTTGTGAAACAAGTAGGGAAAAACCATATAGGGACATGGTATTTAGAGTGGTATTTATGCAGGAGCAAAAGCAGACAGAATATTTCTTCAGTTAGTTTTCAAAGATGAATATTCATTCTTAAGTGGTTGCCTTTGGAAAATACACAGCTCCCTACAGGCTCAGACCTTTCAAAGAACACTTTGATTTACTTTGAAAGTGAGGTCATATTTGGTCAATTATTTAGGAGGGTGCATTCAGGACACCTAAACATATGTGCTCTTTGTGCATGCAAATTGGTGATCGGATGGGCAGGTAAATATAAAATCACCCATCTGTTTGTGGTTATTTTCTCTTGGGCCCCATATAACTAGAACCACATGCTTTTCTAACATTTACGCATCTAAAGCTGCACATGAAATTTTAAATTTTTGAATATCCAACCCATTTTTTGGAGTATCCATATTAACTATTTTAACCCCCTTAAAACACTGATCTTAGCCGGCAGGCGAAGGGAGAGCACGGGTAATTAGCTCTTCAAAATCAGGTGAGAACCCAGAAGTTGGAGGCACTTAACAGAAGGACCTTTAACATTAGTCAACTACTTATTACGTTTCCTATGAGTATTGTTTAGTTTTTGTTCAGAAACTTACTAGCTTTAAAGGTGACTGAGGGGAGAAACAGCAAGAGATAAGAGCTGAATGAGATCAGAGAAAATACAGAAAAGAAATGTTCTACATTATATGAAAAGGACAGTTCTGTAGGTTCTCAGAGAAGAGATTAGAAGTGGATTATGTGCTCTCCGTGAAGGAAACTGCAGAAGGGAAGAAGGATGGGATGTGAACTGGAGGGAATTTGGGGAAAGTAAGGAAGAAGAAAGAGAGAGCATTACAAATGATGAAATCCTCTCTACTTCTTTCAATCTTTGCACTGAAAATGATTTCAAATAAGACAATATTTAATTTGGCCTCTTAAAAACTCTTATTTGAGAGCTTCAATAGCCCTAAATCAGGTACTGTAAAATTATAGACATACTAGGATATAAATATACATTGAGTAGAAGTGGACTAATAGTAATCCATTTTTTTAAAAAATTGAGACTCCTAGAAGCTGAAAACAAAGAATAAAGGGAAAAGATATTCACTAATATTATGTTTTAGCACCCAAGAACATGCCGTCGTAGACTACAGTAATTTTTTTGACTGATTCTCCATCAATTAAACCTTTGAAATAAGAGGAAAGATAAGAAAAGTGGTAAGATTGTAATAAAGAAAAAACTTGATCCTGTAACTATTAAGTAATCAGCTGAATCTAATTTTAAACAAGATGGTTTTAAGTATTGCTAAGGTAAATTTTCAATGAGTACTCCAAAGGGCTAGATGGTGAGCAGCTATTTTTGCATAGTCTTTTACTTGGGTTTATTTGTTACCCATATACCTTGCTGTGTCTATTCCAAGGGCTGTCATGGTCTGGCGGCCTCCTCTCTGGACTATTTTATTCGCTGCAACAAGCACCTCTTCCGTTGATGAGTACTTATTGAGGTTGAACTCATGGGTTACGTTTTCTCCATACTGTACAATTCCAACCTGAAATACCAAGCCACTGTGAGTTATCCATCTAGCAATACTCCCTGTTTCAATACTCCAGTTTAAACACGTAGATCAGATATAACACATTTTAGTCTTTCAGAAGAGTTTAAAAATCTACCAGTATACAAATCCTCTACTTTGACAGCAATAATCACTGCCATTCTGTGCATACTCATAGCATAAAGAATACAAATGAAAGTGCTGTTATTAAACTTCTCAAATGATTGGTTTATCTTTTCAACAGTTTCTACCGAAAGACTCTGATAGGCCTTGCGCGGTAGAATGTGAAACACACTGACATGCTCTCTGACTTCATGGAGCTTCTAAACTAGAGGGAGAGAGAGATTAAACACACGATCATTCAAATACACGTTCAATTGCAAACTGTGAAAAGGGCTGTAACAGAAAAGCTGTCAGTAGCGAGCATAACCTAGGGCCCTAATTTAACATGGCGGCTCAGCGAAGGCCTTTCAGAAGAGAGATTTATGTTGAGACTTAAAGGATAGGTGCTAGGAGGGCGGAGGCCAGTCCTGGATGGTGGCTGAGAGGGAGGATGGGGTCCACACAAAGGGAAGTGTATGTGAAGAAGCTGAGATGGGAAAGAGGGCGGTATGCCCTAAGAATAAGAAGAAAGTCAGTGAGTGTGGCCCAGGCTATGAGAGGAGCGTGAAGCAGGAGGCGGCTGGATGAGTAAGCATGGGATGTAGCTGGCAGGGCACACCTGTGCTTCACTTTTTATGTAGCTCAGTGGTAGCTTCATTTCTCCCAAATCAGCCCTTCTCCCCACCACCCCTTTTCTTGTTCTCTGTCTTCCCTCTCTTACTGCCATCCTCCTTTCATTCTCTCTTTTCCCACAGACTGGATCATGCAGGCAGCTAACTGCAGAGCCACCATGAAGTAAAATGATATGGAAGATAAAGTGCACCCTAGACTTGATTTTCCTCACTCCATATTCCTCCCCTCCAGAGAGGCCCGTTTTTTAAACCTTTTCTACACCCTTAAACCAATCTACATCAAGAATTGTAACTGAGGATAACTTTTTGTTTAACCTTCTTAGCTCAAAATTAGGGACTCAGAGAATTCTTCACCCAAAAGGAACATCTTTTTAATGCAGGAATTCTGGGCACTTCATTTCTTGGGAAGAGGAGGTAATTTGAGATGGGTCTGCCTTCTTTCCAAGGCAATTACCTGGTTTGCTCATGTGTCAAGTTGCCTCTGGCACTTGCTTTAGAGCCAATCCTACTTCCAAGTCTGATCCTATTTCCAAGTGGCACAAAAGATCAGCATCTGCCTTCTAGCCTCCTCTGCCGATATAACAGGTGTCAGAAATCTTTAGGGTTAACTACATGTCGGATTTATAGATATATTTCCACAGCTAGGTCTTTTTAGAAACCAAAAGTATACTCTGGCATTTGCAGAAAAAAATAAGAGAACCCCCAATTTAAAATAATCTTTATTGTCTTTGATCTACCTTCTAGAGTACCTTAGACATCTTGGAGCAATTATGCTGTCATGCCTAAATGAGAATACTATCCTACATTTTTACTGCTTTTTTAAAAACTTTCTTTCCTAATTTATTCAAATTATAGTAATAGAAATTAGTATCACATTTTATAAATAAGTAAACTGAGTTTTAAAAACTTACTCGTCATAATGAAGGAGCTGAAGGGAGCCTAGTCTAAGACATGTATCCTTCATCCCACGGTCCTTTCCATCACTCCACTTCCTCTTGATAATAATGCACCTCTTCCCCCCACCCCGCCCCAAGATCCCGCCATTCTCCAATCACCTTGCCTTGCTAGCTTCTGCTAAATGCTGCTGCCATTTCATGGCTACTCAATGAATTCAATTAGCTAGCTAGCTAACTAAGATAAACTAGAGAATATGATAAAACAAACAAATAAATAGATAATATTTAAAATAGGAAATAGAACATATGAATCTTTCCTTAGGGTTACTTAGTCAGGTGTGAGATAAATAAAAAATAACTAGTGAATATATGCAAGTGTAAGATAAGGCACATCATAAGCTGAATGAACATGCAGTCTGCTCAGTCCATGTCCAGGTTAGCCCTGCTCTTCTATGAATATATCTTTCACCCAAAATCTATCACCGTCTGTCCCAAGACCATGTGCTGTTATAACTGGAATAAAGATGACCAGATGCCCTTTTGGAAATAAAGTAGGATACAACCAACTAATTACACACAAAAATAACAAAATGGATGAGGACACATCCATGACTCCAATTCAGGTTATTTTTTATAATAATATTTTGACTTATAATTAAATGTTATGGAAAGTTATCTATTACTCTCTGCATAGATTTAAAATTATTTTCCCAATGACCCTTATAGCTTTTAATTAGTAATTCAGGGAGACACTGGATAATTATTAAGGGAAACCATGTAGGTTTGACATTGTCTTTGTGCATATGAATGTTCAGTGCAAATAAAAGTAAAATGATTTTGTTACTTAGATAATCATTATGCCTAATTTGAGTACCAAGGTGAATAAATGCTGCTGTGGAAGTTAATTGCTTATCCATTCAGGACATCTTACAGAGTTGGTTTTGTTTATGTTTCCCTTTTTTTATTTGATTAAGCAGGAGGCTAAAGCACTTTGAAGATTGTCACTCCTGTCATTATTCTTGGACATTTTACCACTTAGATGAATCTATTGAATACCCTCCTCTGTTATTTCTTTTACTTCCTCGGCATCAGTAATCTTTTCCTCTAGCCCACCTACATCATCTACTCCCAAGGGCTTATTCTTGACTTTGTCAACAGGAAAAATTGCAGCACCTCAATCTCAATATCAAGTGTTCTTCTGACCATTAACTTCAGCTCATTTACCTAGTATATCTAATTCATCACTTCATTGACTACATCAAGACTTCCAATTAATTCATAGATCCTTCCTTTTTTTTTTTTGTATCTAGCCTAGATTCCACAGTCCATCACCATAATCATTTACTTGCAAACATTTAACTCGCTTAACCATTTTTTCCCTCCATTAACTCACTTGGCTAACTTCCAACTCTGGTTAAGTCCAAATATCTCCTTCTTGCGGGTGCTTCTGTGACACTGAATGTGGCTAGACAAAAGTCACACAACTTGTAGACTGGTCTCACTTTAAAGTTATGGACATGAATCTCAAATGTGGTTGTCCATAGCACTGCCCAAATAGTCCTACTACATTTTACTAATGAGTGTACTTTGCTCCCATTTATTGAGTTCAGTCATATTCTAGTCATAAGCTGTTAACTTCTCAGGAAAAAAGAGAGTATCTCACTTATACATGGGGAGCAGTTAACAGGAGAAGAGATGGAAGTAATGCCAACTAAACAACGCTGCTTAGTGCCATAATATTTTACATTTACAACACACTTTATATATTTTATAGAACCTGCTATGAACTATTGCATTATCTGGACAAATTATCTTCACACTAGGAATAGCAGAAAATTTTTAAATCTTTGTAAGTCAGAGATCAGTGTTTTATATTTTCTCTCTCTCTCTCTTTCTAGCTACATACCTACTCAACATATATTTGACTTCTGTATGCTTATTCTTTGTAAATGTTAAGATAGGAGAGAACTTAGAACTGCCGTTCCCTCACCCCTTCTTTATCCTTTGCTCCTGACAACTCCACCTGCGATTCTCTTCAGATGACTGCCCTCGGACTGCTAGAGCTGCTTTGTCCCAAGGGATCAAAAAGCCAGAAGCACCTGGGAGATTTCTCCCTCTTCCCCCGTTGCCCTGCTCCACAGGCCATGCCGGAGGGCACCCAGGCCCCTTGACACAACTTGGAGCTCCCTTCCAGATCAGGCTGAGGCCCAGACTTCACCTGAAATCACACCCTGTGTGTCTTCTGTGCTACTCTGTTTTGCTCCCCCAAATCCCCTCCTATTTTCTCCTGGTAGCACTCCCTTGGTAAATCCCCTCACTTGACTCCTTCTTTCAGGGTTTGTCTCTGGGGCACAGGACCTAAGGCAGCTATTATCTACGTGTCTGCATTTCTTCTTTAGCCAAGGCCAGACGTCATGGCGTTGAACCTGGACCATGGCAATGGTCGGTCTCTCCACTGCTGATCTCCTTCTTTCCATTTCTACTCTCCTCAAATCCTTCTACATATTAACGGCAGATTAAGTGTCTTCAAATCCTGCTTTTATCACATAATTTTCTTGTTCAAAAATCTCCAATAACTCTCTATTGCCTACATCAATGACTCTGAAATATACTTTAAAAGAGAATTTTTATTCTAATTAAAATAGAAAACAGATAAAACTTCAAGCTGCTCCTTGAAATACTAGGCCTATAGATTAAAATTTTGTTTTCTTCCCCTGACTCTCAGTCACTTAACAGTCTGGCCCTACCTTCTCTATCTCCCTCATCTTCAAGACTTACTCACATGAATTCTACCCTAACCAAATGCCCTTCCTTATCCTTCCAACTAAGCTAAATTCTAACTATTCTGTAAGATTTCATTCAAGTTTCACTTTCTTTGTAAAACTTTCACCATCTAGTCATCAATATAGCCTATACTCATCTTCCCCTTCTCCAAACTCTGAAGCAAACTTGTCTGTCCTGCTCCTGTGAGTACTTCATTCTTCTCAACTGTTGTGTATGCATGCTTTATCTCCTTAACTACATTATAAGTTCTAAGGGGGCAAGCAGGGGGAAAGAGCATGGACTACGTCATAGCTTTCGGTATTCTCTTATCCCTTACCACTGCTTTGCTTTGCTCACAACTGACCCTCATACATTCCTACTAGATGACTGTAACATTTCACATGAGCAAGTAGAAAACTGAAATAGCAGGGAAATAATGATAAGCAGAAAAAGAGAGATACAAAGAAGTGTGGGAAATGAGAAGAGTGGGCAGCGGAGACTCAAATCTCAGGGAAATGACATTCAGTGTGGGTCCCTGGCTGATACGGGGCTGCTTATTTCCTAGAGAACCAGATAGAATAAGGTTCGCTGTGTCTTCCCCAGA